GGGGGGGGGGGGGGGGGGCTTAGGGGGGCTCTTGGTGGTTTCAATCTTTTACATTTATAGATCTAGATTTCCAATGTGGACACTTTTGAATTTGAAAATTTATGCTTGATTACTTTATTTTAATTATCCCTGCAGGATATGACCACTACGATCCGTCTAGACATTAAATTAACTCTTAGGTCTGCACAAGGTTAACATGAATGCTATAGATCCAGAGATTCAGTTCACATCTTGTTTTGTAGGTCTGCAAAAACATTCATATTGTTTTTAGCTTCAGTTTAAAAAAGTAATATTAGAAAAATCCGAAATTATTTTTCGACGGAATGTTGTCATTGTCATAGGTGTGAGAAAAAAGGAATGGGAACCCCCCCCCCCCCCTTCTAAAGTGTTTTGGACATAACTCAAACAGAATTGAACTGAGGCTGTTAAAATATTTTTACTTTTCTAACAAACCACCTTATTTTAGACTTATAAACATACTGCCTCAAGGCATTGTCAATAATAATTAAATCTTAATGAAATAAATATTTTATTTTATTTGATTAAACACTGGACTTAGACCTACTTCCAGTCATTGGATTTTATTATTTTATAGCTCTTTTGAAAGCCTTTAACAAAAGGAAGCAGATTTCACATCTTTTGCCAACAAATTTTTCACAGCTTTTTGAACAGCTACTGTTAAAAGAATTTTCTTAATTTCAGTTTTTCTTAAACACACATTTACTTTTGAAATTTTTTTCTAATATTTTTGCTTATTTGAATTTACAGTTTTATTTTGAAAATAAAGTACAGCCCAAGAGCTTTCCAGAAGAGGGGTGGGGTCTCAGAATATTTTGGTTGAAGGATTCATCAATCTGAATAGGTATAAATCATGTGTCAGGTAAAAATTATATTTTTAAAAGCTAAATCTAAAATTTCTTAAAAGTTAGATCCTCCCCACTAGAAGATTGATGTAAACCGTTTTTAAGTTATAGACATCAGTTGACACTTTGTCTTTTATGATCTGCAAAAAGATTCATAATTTTTCTAGATTCAGTTTAAAAGCGAAATTGGAAAAGTGCTAAAATGAATTAACGGTGGAATGTAATTATATCTTGTGGTTTTGTAATAATATCTTTAAATCTAAAACTTCTTCTGCCAACTTTTGCTGTAGAATAAAATACTTTAAAACTTAATTTCATTCTTATTTCTCCTAGAGCAATTTTCTCGTTATATAAACTTCATAAATTTTAATAATAAATTTTCGTGGAATTCTCTTATTTTTACGATTTATCAGAACCAAGGAAAACAAAAAAAGGATCACAATATTAAAGGTTTGTCCATGTTTATTCATGTTTGAAGTCAAATCTTGAGTATAAAAGTCGTCTTTCTATTGCAGAGTTTTCTGCCTCTCACTGTACTGTAATCGATGTTTTGATCTATGACGATCAGGGCCGCAGCAATTCCAATATTTATTCCCTATCCCTAAATCAAAAACCTCTAAAGCGACCCCCCCCTCATTTTTTTCAATTTTTATTTTTTTCATAAAAAACTTTCGTGCCAGAACTATTTTTCCAATCCACATTTCATTTATTTTAATGAGTTTTTATTATTCGTGCATTTCATGGTCTAATGAGCTGTGTCATTAACCTCTGCAATAAATACACTGAGAATAAAAGAAAGAAAAAAATTTGTGGAAAATTCTGGAACGAATTTTACAACTTTCAATTTTTAAGAGTTGAGAAATGCGTTCAAATTAAATCTAAGTTTTAATTTTAGGTAAAAAGAGAAGATTTTCATAATTATTATTATTTGAAGACGATGAAAATTTTTTGCCGAATCACATTCTTTTCGTAAACTGAAACGTATTTTTTATCAGAATAAAATAAAAGTTTCAGGTTAAAAGTTTATTTAATTTATGTTTTCATATAGAGTGGTCAGAATATTTCAATACTTGATTATATCCATGATTCCATGATGAAGATTTTCGATTTCATCCGGCCATTTGATTCAACAGCAAGCTGTTTATTAAAGGGACTGTACGCCTTATTTCAAGTGAAATATCATTGAAACCATTATCTGATCAATAATGTGGAAATTAGGTAGTTTTCTAGTTTGAAAAGTGTTAAATCTGATATTTTCTATGTTTCTATGTTCTATTTTTTACAGTAGAAATGCAGAAATCACTTTTGTGAGAAAACTGCAATTGAAAATTAATCAGTTTTCATAATTATAAACATTGATGTCCAATTCATATTTGATAAGACAAAGCTTTTAAAGGGACAGACCGGCTATGTAAGGTAGTAAAATTGAGTATGCAGTGTAGTGGACAAATTCTTTAGGATTAAGAGTACCGTTCTGAATCGGGCATTGAAATCTTTTCATTTAAGTCCACTTTAAATTACGCTCACATGCTCTGAAAATAATATTTTTTTTTATTTGGTAAGCATGTTGTAAATACTACGTCTACAGGAAGTAAAGTTTAACCAAGGTGGTGTAGAATTAAAGGGAGTAAAGTTTAGTCCAGGTGGTGTAGGGTTAAAGAAAGTAAAGTTTAGCCCCCTGGTGGTGTAGGGTTTAAAGGGAGTAAAGTTTAGCCCTGTTGGTGTGGGATTAAAGGGAGTAAAGTTTAGCCCAGGTGGTGTGGGATTAAAGGGAGTAAAGTTTAGCCCTGATGGTGTAGGATTAAAGGGAGTAAAGTTTAGCCCAGGTGGTGTAGGATTAAAGGGAGTAAAGTTTAGCCCAGGTGGTGTTGGATTAAAGGGAGTAAAGTTGATGTTCAGGGTTGTTCCATAATTCCGAGTATATTGTCAGTAATATTTTAATATTATTATTTTACGGACAAGCATTGAAAATAAACGGTGAATTATTAACACAACTTTACGACATGTTTACGACACTTTCATCATCTTTCAGAATATTATCATCTTTTTCCTCAGCTCTGGAGGGATATGTTTAGCACATTCCAGTATTTTGTATCCATTCTTCGTTTTGGAAACACATCTTGATAAATTGCAGGATTTACCGCTAAACGATATAAACCAAAATTTTCACAAACTCTGCACTATAATATATTGGGCAGGAGGAGGGGTTGTGGGGGGGGGTAGTTCCTTAGAGAAATAAAAAAAAATAAAAACCTAAAAAAGTAGGAGGGGGGAGGGGGGGTCTCTATTTAAATACAGATATGTCTGGAAACTTAAAAAACAAGGTAAAATTACTCAACTACAAAATTATTCAAACTATAGGCCAATCAGATTTAGAAAAAAAAAATGACAAAAATCATAAAATCATAAATTTGACCCTTTTTTCAGGCATTAAAAAAAATTATGTCTAAGCGTAAAACCTTATAGAAATCCAACGTATAGAAACCGCTACATATAGCAACAAGGCGTATTTTTCGGGAGAACATTTTTTATATTTTTGAGAAATTAAATAATCAGTGTAAAGTAGATATAATTTTCATAAAATCCTTTTATTTAAATGGTTAAATGAAATCATATTAGCATTACTGGAGAACTTTTTTTTATACTTTTAAGAATTTTTTTTCTAAAAATAAAACTGTAGATAGCATTTTTATAAAATATCTTTATTAATAGTAACACGAAATTTTATGTATAACCATATAATCATTCATTTATGTTGTCAGTACTTAGTACATAATAAAATCTGGGGGACCTTAAACACAATAGAGAGCAGTACAAATGTACGTATTAAACTATTTTGCTCCTTTAATGTCTAGGGTATGTTAAAAAAATAGAAATTATGATAAGGATAATGATAGCTCTAGAATGTTTTACAAAAACGTTTAATTTCTCAAAAATATAAAAAATGTTCTCCCTGAAAATACGCCTTGTTGCTATACGTAGCGGTTTCTATACGTTGGATTTCTATAAGGTTTGACTTCAAATCAAGCATGGTGATATGCATATCAGGATATGCAGCTATATCATATGTTTAAAATGTTATAAAACCTAGAATTGAGTATTACCCCCTTGGCTGTACAATAAAGAATGTTTTCGTGTTTATGTTGAACAATAACATTTTCAAATCTTATATTTACAAATTGTATTCGTGTGGACAAATTTAGATTACAAACCTCCATGTTTTCCTTCAAACTTTTCCTCTGACAAAACATATAAGAATTTACAAAGTTAAACGTTGTTATATCTAAAAGAAGGAAAGAAGAAGAAGGAAAGAAGAAGAAGAAGAAGAAGAAGAAGAAGAAGAAGAAGAAGAAGAAGAAGAAGAAGAAGAAGAAGAAGAAGATCCTTCAAACTTTTCCTCTGACAAAACATATAAGAATTTACAAAGTTAAACGTTGTTATATCTAAAAGAAGGAAAGAAGAAGAAGGAAAGAAGAATAAGAAGAAGAAGAAGAAGAAGAAGAAGAAGAAGAAGAAGAAGAAGAAGAAGAAGAAGAAGAAGAAGAAGAATAAGAAGATGAAGAAAAATAAGAATAATAACAAAAAGAACAAGAAGACCTAGTGTACTATGTAACATAATATGTTTACTAGCAAAGCAATAAATATTTTTATATTTTTATAAAAGATTATGGCCTGATATATTACGAACTACGGCTTCATAAGCAAGATTGAGTTTCCAATAAAAATATTTCTTACGAACAGGATCTCCAAGATTATAAAGCACTTCCTAGTTCCTACAAGTTTTTTCACAGATGTGAGGGGGGGGGCCGCGGTGTTTTTCAGCTCCCCTTTTGGTTTGGTAGGGTTCAGAAAGGTTTGATCGGTAGTTGGTATAACATATGTATATATTTTTTAAATCTAGAAAAGTTACTTATGTTAATGTTGATGAACTTTTTAATTGAATTATCTAATCGTTTAAATTCTTATTTGCAATCTCTTTAATGTTTCTTATTTAGAGAAGGTTGACTGAGCAGGGAAAAGTTGACTT